CCCCAAAACCCCAAAACCCCAAAACCCCAAAACCCCAGAAAACAAATTTAAATAGAAAATACATAGTTCTACATAATATTATTTTAACAAAAATGCTAGACACAAATATTTACGATGTAGATATCAGCATGAAAAGAATTTTTACACCTCACTCCAAGAAGGAGATCACCAGGAAGGTATTAAATAGCATTTCCTACAAGGAAGTTCAAATTGCCGAAAGCCAATTAGTCCTAAAAATGCTGATCGAAGTGCACCAAGGTCTTGAAGCATACAAAAAGACTGGTGATACTGACTTTGGTATCACTAAATCTCAGGAAAAACTCGCAAGTCTTGAACAACGCAAGGAGAAAGAAATCTCAACTGTCAAGAAAATACGCAAGCAAAACACTGCTCTTAAGATGAGAATTGAGCGCTACTTAAAGAAAATCAAGAAGGTCGAACACAAAACAATGCTGAGAATGAGAATTGTTCAAAAGAAAGCTGCTAAATTTTACCAAAGGATGAGAGAGATGGGCAGCTCATCTAAAAGCATCCGTAATGCGTACCATGAGTCATCCATCCGCAATTTGTACAACTCTCCAATGCCAGCAAACAGAAAGAACAAAGGAGGAAACTCAACTCTGTCAGTTCCCTGACTTGAAGATACCAGTTATCTCAAGAGTCCCAGAAGTTGCCAAATGAGCATGACTTCTGGTGACTAAACTCTTATCTATCAGAAAGAAATGGATATTTCTGCCTTAAGTTTCGAAGGGATCTCAGATGAGGCCTCCAACTGAATATTTAATACATCATAAATAAATTTTCTGAATAATTCTTTAAATTTCATCAATGCTTTTGAAATATAGCCTAAAGTAATCAGTTATGGGTAGACATAAGAATAATCTCAGTCTCAGTCCAGTCTTAGCATACAACCTTGACGGTGTAAAATAATTTGTAGTAATGAACAGCTATTAATTTAAGATGTCTTTGTTTTATCCTTTGCTTCGGACGTCACATGAGTTCTGCAAACACTTAAAATAAAGATATTTCAAACCACCTAAATATTAGTACACAAATCGGGCAAAATCTATTTCCTTCAATTCTGATAAGCAAGATCATAAATTGCCCAAGACCCCTATCAAAAACCTGTTCAATCAGCAGTTTGGCCTAGCTAGAGCGATTTGCTGACACACAAAACTGTTATCTAGCTTACCATCCAGCTTTATCCTCAATTTCTGATAATACTAAAAGCCAATGCTCATATGCATGGGTTGGACCCCAATCCCAGCCTGGTGACTGAGCCTTAGGACGAATCTCACTAATTTTTAAATGATCTCAAATGGACAGTAGCTTGATGAAACCATCTCTGTACGACCAGATCCGAAGATAGAGTGCCGGATTCTAAGAAAATTCCAATAATGGGTCTGACATTTCTGAGAACCAAACTTATTAACTATGACCGTAACCCTTGGTGCTTAGTTCAGCTTAGACTATCTTCAAAATAGCTGCCCTAATTTTAAGCAGAGATGTCAATCTGATGTTCCTTTCATCCAAAAGTGTCCCATTAAGAGACCTTGACAAAGTTCAGCTTTATTTATGGGATATTTCAGCAATAAACTCCTATTCTTAATCTTCCGAGGGAGCTTTTAGTCAAGGATATCTATACTAACCGAAATTGTTCATAGATTTTGAAGCCTACTCTGAAACTGATAGAAATCTTCAATCTCTAACAACTGTCATGTCTTAGCATAATTGCTAATTTCAATTAGTGGGGGACTGAGAACTCACCTTAAGCTAATCGTCATTCTGACCATCAATCTTGACTAAACCTCATACCTCATCAATGCTTTTTCAAATTTTATTTTTGCCCAAATTTTAGCTTCAAAGCTTCCAAAAACAGCCTTTAAATCCCCGAAATTCAGCATCTCTTTTGTAACTCAAGAGAGCCAAAATAACTCTAGCCTCCATTTGAATAAGTCCGAACTTGAGGATGGAAACTAGCCTCCTTTAGACCCAAAAACATCGCTAAAACTCTAGTGTTTAATGGCAGAATTTCTTCAAAACTCATTGACCCAAGTGCAAGTATCCAAGACTGATACTACCATCTTGATGGAGGGAGCATATCCACTGCCTAGACGATACAACAAAGCCAGGGGCATTATAATCTTATCGGAATGCTACACAAAACTCCAAAACTCCCTGCTTGCATCTTTGCAACCTAAAACCTCAAAATTTTTAATCACAACAGTGGTTTTGATAAACCCTCTGGAAATCTAAGGTTTCAGATATAAATATCCAAACAAGTTAGGGCATTTTGTAACTTACAAAGCAAACTCTGAGCGCCCAAAACTTATATAGGTGCTAACCAGCAACTTAACAAGATAGAAGGCCTAGATGGCCAGAGCTACGACAGTAAAAACTTCCTTCCACTTTTTACATATATTAGGAGTGATAAAAATAAGCCTTAAAAACAAGGAAATAGTGACGACTAATGTACGATTAATCTCAATTTTATCACCCAGAATTGCCTGAGAGTAATTCCCCATTTTTGGAAACTAGGATGTCATTCAGCAAAAATAGTGTTTAAAGAGCCTCTAGCATGTTTGGTGTACTCAAAACCGTAAAATCAAACAAAAGCTTAACTTCAACAGCCTGTGTCGTTACAAAATTATATGAGGATGATTTGCAAAATTAGCATGCCTGCTTCCAGACCTGCTAACCTATTAGTCATCAACAAAGTAATTACAGCTAATAGTAGTTTATCATCCTGGCTTAATCCAACTAAAGTACCTAGGATCTAATACCCAAGCCATCATTTTTGGGAGGCAGAGTCTTGAGTAATAAAAACAGTTTGGTTGTATTCAACAACTGCCTAATCCCTTGGGGTTTTGGGGTTTTGGGGTTTTGGGGTTTTGGGG